TTGTGTGTCTCTATGTGGTCGTTGTCTCTGTGTGGTCGTTGTGTGTCTCTCTGTGGTCGTTGTGTGTCTCTCTGTGGTCGTTCTGTGTCTCTTTGTTGTCGTTGTGTGTCTCTATGTGGTCGTTCTGTGTCTCTTTGTGGTCGTTGTGTGTCTCTATGTGGTCGTTCTGTGTCTCTTTGTGGTCGTTGTGTGTCTCTGTGTGGTCGTTGTGTGTCTCTGTGTGGTCGTTGTGTGTCTCTGTGTGGTCGTTGTGTGTCTCTGTGTGGTCGTTGTGTGTCTCTGTGTGGTCGTTGTGTGTCTCTGTGTGGTCGTTGTGTGTCTCTGTGTGGTCGTTGTGTGTCTCTGTGTGGTCGTTGTGTGTCTCTGTGTGGTCGTTGTGTGTCTCTTTGTGGTCGTTCTGTGTCTCTTTGTGGTCGTTGTGTGTCTCTGTGTGGTCGTTCTGTGTCTCTGTGTGGTCGTTGTGTGTCTCTATGTGGTCGTTGTGTGTCCCTATGTGGTCGTTGTGTGTCTCTTTGTGGTCGTTGTGTGTCTCTTTGTGGTCGTTGTGTGTCTCTATGTGGTCATTTTGTGTCTCTATGTGGTCGTTGTGTGTCTCTATGTGGTCGTTGTGTGTCTCTGTGTGGTCGTTGTGTGTCTCTCTGTGGTCGTTCTGTGTCTCTTTGTTGTCGTTGTGTGTCTCTATGTGGTCGTTGTGTGTCTCTATGTGGTCGTTGTGTGTCTCTTTGTGGTCGTTGTGTGTCTCTATGTGGTCGTTCTGTGTCTCTATGTGGTCGTTGTGTGTCTCTATGTGGTCGTTCTGTGTCTCTTTGTGGTCGTTGTGTGTCTCTGTGTGGTCGTTGTGTGTCTCTGTGTGGTCGTTGTGTGTCTCTGTGTGGTCGTTGTGTGTCTCTGTGTGGTCGTTGTGTGTCTCTTTGTGGTCGTTCTGTGTCTCTTTGTAGTCGTTGTGTGTCTCTATGTGGTCGTTGTGTGTCTCTTTGTGGTCGTTGTGTGTCTCTTTGTGGTCGTTGTGTGTCTCTATCTGGTCGTTGTGTGTCTCTATGTGGTCGTTGTTTGTCTCTTTGTGGTCGTTCTGTGTCTCTTTGTGGTCGTTGTGTGTCTCTATGTGGTCGTTGTGTGTCTCTTTGTGGTCGTTGTGTGTCTCTTTGTGGTCGTTGTGTGTCTCTATCTGGTCGTTGTGTGTCTCTATGTGGTCGTTGTTTGTCTCTATGTGGTCGTTGTGTGTCTCTATGTGGTCGTTGTGTGTCTCTATGTGGTCGTTGTTTGTCTCTATGTGGTCGTTGTGTGTCTCTATGTGGTCGTTGTGTGTCTCTCTGTGGTCATTTTGTGCTCATCTTATGTCGTCTTGTGTCTCGTTGTAATCTTTCTTTTGTCTATTTATATCCCTAATTATTATTTGTGTCCTTTTGGTCATTTTGTGTATTTTTGTAATCTTTTTTGGTAATTTCTAATTATTTTTAGTGTTGTTTGTCTGTCTTTGTGGTCGTTGTGTGTCTCTATGTGGTCGTTGTATGTCTCTATGTGGTCGTTGTGTGTCTCTGTGTGGTCGTTGTGTGTCTCTGTGTGGTCGTTGTTTGTCTGTCTTTGTGGTCGTTGTGTGTCTCTATTTGGTCGTTCTGTGTCTCTTTGTGGTCGTTGTGTGTCTCTGTGTGGTCGTTGTGTGTCTCTGTGTGGTCGTTGTGTGTCTCTGTGTGGTCGTTGTGTGTCTCTGTGTGGTCGTTGTGTGTCTCTTTGTGGTCATTCTGTGTCTCTTTGTGGTTGTTGTGTGTCTCTTTGTGGTCGTTGTGTGTCTCTATGTGGTCGTTGTGTGTCTCTATGTGGTCGTTGTGTGTCTCTTTGTGGTCGTTCTGTGTCTCTATGTGGTCGTTGTGTGTCTCTTTGTGGTCGTTCTGTGTCTCTATGTGGTCGTTGTGTGTCTCTATGTGGTCATTGTGTGTCTCTTTGTGGTCGTTGTGTGTCTCTGTGTGGTCGTTGTGTGTCTCTTTGTGATCGTTATGTTTGTTGTTGTGGTCGTTGTGTGTCTCTATGTGGTCGTTCTGTGTCTCTGTGTGGTCGTTGTGTGTCTCTTTGTGGTCGTTGTGTGTCTCTTTGTGGTCGTTGTGTGTCTCTATGTGGTCGTTGTGTGTCTCTTTGTGGTCGTTGTGTGTCTCTGTTTGGTCGTTGTGTGTCTCTATGTGGTCGTTGTGTGTCTCTATGTGGTCGTTGTGTGTCTCTATTTGGTCGTTGTGTGTCTCTATGTGGTCATTGCGTCGTTGTGTGTCTCTATGTGGTCGTTGTGTGTCTCTATGTGGTCGTTGTGTGTCTCTATGTGGTCGTTGTGTGTCTATGTGGTCGTTGTGTGTCTCTATGTGGTCGTTGTGTGTCTCTATGTGGTCGTTGTGTGTCTCTATGTGGTCGTTGTGTGTCTCTATGTGGTCGTTGTGTGTCTCTCTGTGGTCGTTGTGTGTCTCTATGTGGTCGTTGTGTGTCTCTCTGTGGTCGTTGTGTGTCTCTCTGTGGTCGTTGTGTGTCTCTTTGTGGTCGTTGTGTGTCTCTTTGTGGTCACTTTGTGTCTCTTTTGTTTATCCTTCTGCATCAGAATCAGGACCATCTCTGTCGAGCAGCTGAGCCTGATGAGAGTTGAGTTGAGTTCACTGCTGGACTCTGTTTTTACTGTTTGTGGTTTCTACTGTAGCATCTGCTAAACTCATTTACACACACACACACACACACACACACACACACACACACACACACACACACACACACACACACACACACACACACACACACACACACACACACACACACACACACACACACACACACACACACACACACACTGACCTCAGCTGTCGGGCTGCTGGTGATTTAATAAAGCAATTTAATGAGAAAACGTTCATGAGCTTCAGATTTACGGTGGGAAGATCATGCTGTGTGATTGCACAGAATGCATCAGGACATGAGCTAAATGATACGATGAAGACATGTGATTAAACCTTCAAACACTCTTTACTCTCGACTTTTTCTCCTTATATTCTGTAATGAAGTAAGAAAATGTCTCGTTGGACAGGAATCAGCCTCTTTATTTTACAACATAATTAGTCACAAGTCAGTACTTAGGAGGGGAATCAATCTAAAAATAGTCCCTTGTGGATGGTGTCTTATTTATCCTTAACCATTTATGTTATCTTTCCCATTATAGAGGGAGATGTAATTTCCTTCATGCTAGCCCCGGCTTCCAAGGTGAAATCTAGTCAGTGTTTCACTATTAAGCTCTTATCTAAATGTGAATTTCAATCCTTCTGTTTCATGCACATTTTTAATCTGCACATAAAAAAATTGACGGAGGATTGCATGCGCTGATTGTCTGAGTAAATCTTTAAAAGATTACAAAAAAAGTCTATATTCTTGGCTGAAAAGTTGGTTAAGTTAGATGACTGAAATATGGTCTGGCTTTAGCCACCTTTAGCTTAGCGGTGGTGAAGTGAAGTCATGTGACCGTGTTGTAGTTCTTTTATAGCCCAACATTAGCCGCCTTTAGCTTAGCGGTGGTGAACTGAAGTCATGTGACCGTGCTGTAGTTCCTTTATAGCCCAACATTAGCCACCTTTAGCTTAGCGGTGGTGAAGTGAAGTCATGTGACCGTGATGTAGTTCCTTTATAGCCCAACATTAGCCACCTTTAGCTTAGCGGTGGTGAAGTGAAGTCATGTGACCGTGCTGTAGTTCCTTTATAGCCCAACATTAGCAACCTTTAGCTTAGCGGTGGTGAAGTGAAGTCATGTGACCGTGTTGTAGTTCCTTTATAGTCCAACATTAGCAACCTTTAGCTTAGCGGTGGTGAAGTGAAGTCATGTGACCGTGTTGTAGTTCCTTTATAGCCCAACATTAGCCACCTTTAGCTTAGCGGTGGTGAAGTGAAGTCATGTGACCGTGCTGTAGGTCCTTTGTAGCCCAACGTTAGCCACCTTTAGCTTAGCGGTGGTGAAGTGAAGTCATGCGACCGTGCTGTAGCTCCTTTGTAGCCTTACGTTAGCTTTATACTCCTGGTGATTTAATTTAGACAGTTGTGAAGTCTGTATAAGAAGTAGAGGTTTGTTGGTTCAGCTCTGACAGGATAAACATTCCTCAGAATCAGAGCGAGCTGCAGATCTCAGATCAGACGATAAGATCTGTGTCCTGTTCGCTCAGCTTCTTTTTGTTTTGGAAGAAAGACAGAATATTATCTGCGGCTGATCTCTGCTCTCGTCAGACTCTCACTGAGCGTGTGCGAACAGCTCGCTGCGATGATGACACTGATCTCCACGGGTTGTTGGTTTGTCTTTCCGCTGTTGATGCCTGTATTGCAGACATGTGACCATGGAGGGATTACTGAATGGGCCAACTGGGCTGAAACCCAGGGGGCAAGGGGGTCAGGGGCCCCTCAGTGCAGAGTCTATTTTTGAAGTGACTCTTTACATGTCTTATTGGGCAAATGAAACCACAAAGACACTCTAAACCAGTGGTTCTCAACTGGTCAGGCCTCGGGACCCACTTTTTCCTTAGTCAATAAATCGCGACCCGAAATTTTGAACCACTCAAATCTATTCAACAAAAAATCGTGCAGTAAAATATACTCTTTTCAGCATACATTATTAATTAAAGTGAAGTACAGTGCATATATCTCTTATATCCCTTCACATAACTAAAGTATGCTTTAAATAAGGTTTAATGAGATGATGGAATCAAAGATGAACTGTATAACATAAAAAGGCTCACATGCTGAAAACCCAACCCCAGCAGGGGGTCTGGGGGGATTCTCCCCCAGCAGGGGGTCTGGGTGGATACTCCCCCAGGAGATTTTTAGAAATACTAACATATAAACTACCCATTCTGGTACACTCTGAGAAGAAAATAAATACATCTATTACTACCCGACATATTAATAATATTGTATGCCATTGTTTGTTTTTCACTTAGTTCTGACATCTTGCTGCTCCTCACAGAGAGAAGAGCAAAGAGGAGAGAGTCTGTGTGACTTACTTTAAATTGTGGGTAAGGGTAGATAGCTCCCATTGTTCTGTGACCTGTCAATCATCAAACCGGGGGTCATATTTCATTACGTGTTCATTTGTATCTGAAGTTGTACTCATGGATGTATAAAGAATAGTTCTACCGCAAAGTTATTTTCCGTGGGGACTTCCGGCAACACTCTTGATTCTGATTGGCCAGAAGACTTGGAAAAACATCAGCAAAGATGTTTTATTGAGAAGATGATCACTACGTGACAGAAGTTTTCAAAACCGTTCATGGTCTCCGGTACTTCCAGTCCAACGCCTACTGCATGCACAGCGTTAGAAAATCGGGCCTTCAAAATAAAAGTTTGAATTTCCCCCCCCCCCAAAAAAAACACACATCTGCGACCCACTTTTGGGTCGCGACCCACCAGTTGAGAACCACTGCTCTAAACAACCGCAAAGAGATTTAATACCACTACAATGTGTCATAAAACCACCAGAAAGAAACATGCAACAGCCACTTATAAACGTTAACCAACCACAATAAACAGACGTTAAATAATAACAACACACTAAACCACCGCACTGAGACATAAAACCACCAAAATCACAAATAAAACCATCAAATAGAGACATTCAATAATATCAACACACTTAACCACCACAAAGAGATGTAATTCACCCACAAAGACACAAAAAAAAAACAATATGGAAATATAGTGTCTAAATGAGACGACTAAGAAGCATCACGCCCAACATTAGCCACCTTTAGATTAGCGGTGGTGACGTGAAGTCAAGTGACCGTGCTGTAGTTCCTTTATAGCCCAACATTAGCCACCTTTAGCTTAGCGGTGGTGACGTGAAGTCAAGTGACCGTGCTGTAGTTCCTTTATAGTCCAACATTAGCCGCCTTTAGCTTAGCAGTGGTGACGTGAAGTCATGTGACCATGCTGTAGTTCCTTTATAGCCCAACATTAGCCGCCTTTAGCTTAGCGGTGTTGACGTGAAGTCATGTGACCGTGCTGTAGTTCCTTTATAGCCCAACATTAGCCGCCTTTAGTTTAGCGGAGGTGAAGTGAAGTCATGTGACCGTGCTGTAGTTCCTTTATAGCCCAACATTAGCCTCCTTTAGCTTAGCGGTGTTGACGTGAAGTCATGTGACCATGCTGTAGTTCCTTTATAGCCCAACATTAGCCGCCTTTAGTTTAGCGGTGTTGACGTGAAGTCATGTGACCGTGCTGTAGTTCCTTTATAGCCCAACATTAGCCGCCTTTAGTTTAGCGGAGGTGAAGTGAAGTCATGTGACCGTGCTGTAGGTCCTTTATAGCCCAACATTAGCCTCCTTTAGCTTAGCGGTGGTGACGTGAAGTCAAGTGACCGTGCTGTAGTTCCTTTATAGCCCAACATTAGCCTCCTTTAGCTTAGCGGTGGTGACGTGAAGTCAAGTGACCGTGCTGTAGTTCCTTTATAGTCCAACATTAGCCGCCTTTAGCTTAGCAGTGGTGACGTGAAGTCATGTGACCATGCTGTAGTTCCTTTATAGCCCAACATTAGCCGCCTTTAGCTTAGCGGTGTTGACGTGAAGTCATGTGACCGTGCTGTAGTTCCTTTATAGCCCAACATTATCCACCTTTAGCTTAGCGGTGGTGACGTGAAGTCATGTGACCGTGCTGTAGTTCCTTTATAGCCCAACATTAGCCGCCTTTAGTTTAGCGGAGGTGACATGAAGTCATGTGACCGTGCTGTAGTTCCTTTATAGCCCAACATTATCCACCTTTAGCTTAGCGGTGGTGACGTGAAGTCATGTGACCGTGCTGTAGTTCCTTTATAGCCCAACATTAGCCGCCTTTAGTTTAGCGGAGGTGACGTGAAGTCATGTGACCGTGCTGTAGTTCCTTTATAGCCCAACATTAGCCTCCTTTAGCTTAGCAGTGGTGACGTGAAGTCATGTAATCGAGCTGTAGTTCCTTTATAGCCCAACATTAGTTGTTTACAATACAAATCATAAAGTGGTGTTAATATGTGGAGATTATCCTGCTGAACTAAACGTTTGTTTGACACAGATTTTCATTTTTTAAATTAATCCAAAATCCCATGTCCTTTTGTTGAGGGAGCCCTTATGCTAACTTCAGGGTCACAACTAGAAGGAGAGTGGAACATTTAAACCACAACCCTCTAACCTACATTGCTCCAACACACACACACACACACACACACACACACACACACACACACACACACACACAAACACACACACACACACACACACACACACACACACACACACACACACACACAAACAGAGCAGCCCCCCCTCTTACTGTCGTCTGTTTGGGTCTCTGCTCCCTTGTTGAACTTTTTTTGTGTCGAGGTCAGCAGCTCAACTCGGATTATCCCAGTCTGCAGGCGGCTAAAGTATATACTGTTCATACTGTAACACACACACACACACACACACACACACACACACACACACACACACACACACACACACACACACAAACACACACACACACACACACACACACACACACACTCATCTCTGAGCTCAGACTGCAGAAGGATCAGACTCTGAGAGGTCCTGTTTTAAGCGTTCAAACCTTTATATATTCAGTCTATGGTTCAAACACACCAATTACAGTCTACAGAAGCCAACAAATATATATACCTAATAAATATGCTAAACATAAAATACAAATAGCCTACCTTTCATTCATTACCAACTCATTATGTCAGTATGATATATTTAAAATATTTGTCTTACTTATTTTTTTGTATTTCTTTAAACAAGTTTCTCTCTTGTATATCAATAAAGATTATTAATATCTTCAAATCAGCTAATTATTAAATGACTGGTTTGAACTCCTCTAAATGGAAACATAATGTGGCAATATATATATAATTACACTTCATACATATATAATATGTATTACACATACGGATATGTAACACTGGAGGAACTAAAGAGTTAAATCTTACCTCCGATCAGATTATTTCACAGACAAATTTCCTGGCTGGATTTGGTTTGTTGAGTCAGCTGCTTTAACATTAAACCTCAATTTGGTTTCTTAATGTGAAAACCAGAACCGGAAGTGTGATATTTGTCCGCAGCTCCACAGCGCCCCCTGTTGTGTGTCTGCAGCTCTGCACTGTGAGAGCCTGTAGTGGCTCTGCGGCCCCCTGCTGTCTGTCTGCAGCTCTGCACTGAGAGCCTGTAGTGGCTCTGCTGCCCCCTGCTGTCTGTCTGCAGCTCTGCACTGAGAGCCTGTAGTGGCACTGCTGCCCCCTGCTGTCTGTCTGCAGCTCTGCACTGAGAGCCTGTAGTGGCACTGCTGCCCCCTGCTGTCTGTCTGCAGCTCTGCACTGTGAGAGCCTGTAGTGGCACTGCTGCCCCCTGCTGTCTGTCTGCAGCTCTGCACTGTGAGAGCCTGTAGTGGCACTGCTGCCCCCTGCTGTCTGTCTGCAGCTCTGCACTGTGAGAGCCTGTAGTGGCACTGCTGCCCCCTGCTGTCTGTCTGCAGCTCTGCACTGTGAGAGCCTGCAGTGGCTCTGCTGCCCCTGCTGGACCATACAGGGAAGCAAAGATTAAAAGTTTTCATGCGCACAATATTTACAATTTAGTTGTTGGTAGAGAGAGATCTTGTACTTGAGTAGAAGTAGAAGTACTCAGATCTTGTACTTGAGTAAAAGTAGAAGTACTCAGATCTTGTATTTGAGTAAAAGTAGAAGTACCAGAGTGTAGGAATACTCTGTTACAGTAAAAGTCCTGCATTCAAAATGTTACTCAAGTAAAAGTACAAAAGTATTAGCATCAAAATATACTTAAGGTACCAGTATACTTATATTTTATAACTCTTACTAAACTTTTTTCAGTATTTATCTCATATTACATCAGTTTATATTTGATATCCTTTTTTTTACTGTAACTGTGTTGAACGAAGGATTTGGATTTTATATTGTCAATAGGGGGCAGAACAATCAGTCATCTTCATTTCAGTAACCATTAACCAGACCACACACACACACACACATACACACACGCACACACACACACACACACACACACACACACACACACACACACACACACACACAAACCACAGGGATGAATGACCATGAGTCACTGGCTGACTGTATGAAAAGGATTACTATTTTACTGGAAGATTTTCTGTGTGTGTGTGTGTGTGTGTGTGTGTGTGTGTGTGTGTGTGTGTGTGTGTGTGTGTGTGTGTGTGTGTGTGTGTGTGTGTGTGTGTGTGTGTGTGTGTGTGTATCACGCTGTCAGAGGTGATGCTGATCATTAAGAACTCTAAATTTGATACAGTTCCCTGCAAACACAGGGTAAGTTATTCAAACGTAGTTTTGTTCACTTCTGAATTATCATATAATATGGCCAATGTATCATATTTTGTATGTGTTATGTGGTTATATTTGTATACATTTTTTAAATGAAATACGATGATATATAAAAAAGTTAGATACGTCATTACAAAAAGTGTTGTGATTATTGTTATTAATACTGTCCATTAAAGAGTCCTCTCCTGCTGATGTTCAGATGTATATCAGTATGTAGTGTCTCTACTTTAAAGAGTCCTCTCCTGCTGATGTTCAGGTGTATATCAGTATGTAGTGTCTCTACTTTAAAGAGTCCTCTCCTGCTGATGTTCAGATGTATATCAGTATGTAGTGTCTCTACTTTAAAGAGTCCTCTCCTGCTGATGCTCAGGTGTATATCAGTATAGTGTCTCTACTTTAAAGAGTCCTCTCCTGCTGATGTTCAGATGTATATCAGTATGTAGTGTCTCTACTTTAAAGAGTCCTCTCCTGCTGATGTTCAGGTGTATATCAGTATGTAGTGTCTCTACTTTAAAGAGTCCTCTCCTGCTGATGTTCAGGTGTATATCAGTGTGTAGTGTCTCTACTTTAAAGAGTCCTCTCCTGCTGATGTTCAGGTGTATATCAGTATCTAGTGTATCTGCTTTAAAGAGTCCTCTCCTGCTGATGTTCAGGTGTATATCAGTATGTAGTGTCTCTACTTTAAAGAGTCCTCTCCTGCTGATGTTGAGGTGTATATC